AAAAAAAAAAAAAAAAAAAAAAAAAAAAAAAGGAACGATCGACGGTTTGAAACGCACGATTGTATATTCGACACAGCACAAACGAAGAAGAATCTTGAATGGGCCTGGTCAGTGTCCACTTAGCTCGCGGGCATTAATCTCCTCGTAAACTCGATGGGCCCATAAAATGCTGGCCGCGGCAGCCATTGTCCCGGCCGTGGATGCTCCTCTATTTTTCCGTTAGGGGGCGACTCGTTTAAATTCAATTAGAGACGAGGAAGGGTAGAAGGTGGTTTTTAATTGATTCCACTGGCCATTATTTCGATCGGATCGGGACACGTAGAACTATAAATAACAGGTTTTCTCGATACGAGAAGTATGAGATCGTGAAAGGATCCACAATATTTTCGATCGAAAATATATTTTCGCAGCTTTCTTTTTTCCAATTTGCAAATTATCGAGTTGAAAATGGAAATAAATTAATCGCGAGTTTTCTTAATGTTTCTTTTCTGCCTCTTCCAGATTATCAATTCCCGATTGACGTATCTGGCGTAGCCAAGGACCACCCCTTCCTCGAGACTGATTCCCTGCAGAGTCTATTTCGACGATTGCACGCTCTTAATCGGTGCGCTAATATGAAGATCGACACTCACCATACGCACAGTACTAGTCACAGCAAAAGCGTAAGTAATTATTTCTTTTTATATCCTTCGATTGGATAAATAAACGAGCTTACAAATAAATAAACTTATACGATAAATCTAAAAAAAAAAGAAAGAAAAACGGTCGAAGGGATATATCGGAAACAAGTAATTTTCCAAAATAAATTAGAAGAAAATTTCTACGACGAATATTATGAAATATCATTGGTTATCTTGGGTAAATATCTCCGCGTGTATCTTTCGCGTGTATATTTCGTTCCTTCCACTTCCTTCCTTCAGAATATTTTCTGAACATCGTTGCTCGAGTAGATCCTTTTCAAGATCCTTTATCGGTTAGAAATTTTTCAAAGGAAAAAGAGAGAGAGAGAGAGAGAGAAGGATCTCGAAAAGCGGAAATACTAGCAGAGATCAGGAATATTACGATAAAGTCTTGCCGTCACGAGGGTTTCTCTACCTAAAACGCTTCCAAGAATCTTAACGGTTTACGGGCCAGGGGGTGGATCCTTTCAAGGATCCACGTCCCTTCTTCTCAACTTCCGTGATGCGAGCGGATTATCTGTTTGAACGATGTCGTCTCGCCCTCGAAATTTTGGGAAAGTCGCTTTGTCGCTCCGGCTTCCGAAAGGATTCGTCATCCGAGGCGTTCCTCGCGCGTCACCTGAGCAATCTCATGATTCCTCAAGAGCCGCGGGAATGTCAAATATTTGACGTTTATCTCGGATCTTGTAGAGCGTAAATTCGTATCGCAAAGTGTTATATTCTTCTCGAATAGCTGTTTCTGCGCGTTGTAACACAGGTCGCTGAAGTTTTCGAAAAATAATTTCACTTATCAGTTTTTCTTTGCCAAAAATGTTTGTCACTTCGTTGATTCTTGTGATGTATATATTCGCGTATACTCGGTTATACACGACAGTCTTCCGTATTTCTTCGAGGAGGAAGAGGATAGTACGTAAAATTCATATTATACACGACGTTTCGAATATAATGGATATCATGGGATTAAACATTATTGTTTAAAAACGTTGCTTGAGAAGAAAGAGAATTTAAAATACGTTCCTTTATTCGAAAGTAGAAAGCAGGAATATATACATCCGAATAAAATTAAAAATCCGCTCTTTCTTAAAAATCATTAAGAGGAAAAAAAAAATTAAATTTCCTAGCGGTATCGCTTATACGAATATCGCCTGGGCGTTAATTAACACATTCACCGTCGATCGTATTTCAACCAACTTTCCATTTACGTCAATTAGATTCTACACTGAAAATGTTGGATTTAAGAACGAGCCGCGATGAATATCGCGCGATCCCTTGTTAATTTCATTATTGTACAATTAATACGTTATTTTAAATTAACGATTAAGAATTCCGTACCAGCCTCTAATAATCACCACGGATATTTTATAACGCGTCACTTTTACGATGGCCATCGAAAATAACAGCACAAGATCAATATCGAAATTATTTTAAAATTTGTAGAACGAATAAGCAAAACGTTGTTAAAGATTTTACTTTTCAATAATAAGAAATTAGCTATCGAAATATATCGGGATAAAGTGCGTAATTATGTAAAAATTACGCGAAAACGAGAGAAAAGATGTTAAAAACAGCTTTTCACGAATTTCCATCGTAGCACAACAATGGCGTCGATACTGATTCCATCCTTCATATATTTCCCACTGCAACTGAAATTCCAACGACTCTTAGTTTCGTCATCCCGTCGTCCGTGTTCCGCCAAACAGCGATGGGATCGGCGAAGCACGCCTCGTTATCTCGAATCTCTTTCACCATCGACTAATTGCAGACCCATAGCTATCGGGATTCAACGAGTTATGACACGTTTCCAACGCGTATGGTCATTGTTATGCGGGGCCCTCGGCCGTCTTGTGCTATTCTTACGATTTGTTTGAGGACGTACGTACGGATGGAATAACAACTAACGAATGTCACGTGACCAGGATAAGACTCGAGTTAATTATCGTGGAAAGTGTTGCCAGCCATGATGGAACGACGATGACCGTTGGAAAATAATTCTCGAGCCCGTCTTCCTTCGAGATTAAATAATTGAATTCATCCTCCTCCAGTCGATTGATTCTTATCGATTCGACGATGAATATTTTTCATTTCAGAGATCGTTCGATTCCTTATCGTCCGTGTTATTATCTGAACAATTACAACGATCGATGACGATGGATCCGTTAAAACACGACTTTCAAGTCGCGCAATCTTATCAAGATTTGAAATATCTTGAAATTCCGTTATTATTGGACACGAGAGAAAAAGATAAAGATTCCTTTGTGGCTTTCGCTTTCCCCCTAATGCCTAAGTTGGTTTAAATAATTTAATCGATAATACGAACTACATAATGGCCGAAGCAATCAAGATTTTCAAGAATTCTAGATTTACTTGGAACGATATACATTTCATTTGGCACTTTCGCTTTTTGTCTTAAGGCGTAAAATAATTTAATTACGTATACGTTGACGAATCGATAATATATCAAAATCTATGAAGGCTGTCAAACATTTCCAATTATATTCGAAATCTCATTACTACATATTGTTGACGAGTTTTTCTTATTTGGCACACGGGGGAAAAAAAATTTAAAGAAAATTTATGTGAAAGCGAGAATTGTACGTGGTGAATATACGATTGGTGTCATGGAACTCGTAAAGATCAAACCGAAAGAAATGTCCTCCGTTGATTATTGTTCAGCCTTCTCAAGCAGGAAGTGTTCCAAAATTACACAATGAGAGAACAGGCGCTACGCGCATTCGCCTCGCAAATCAGAGTTAAAAGCGTTTTGTTGCAAGCTTAAATCAATTATACGCAACTCCCTCCTTTTGCCCGTGGGCCCATCCGATTAAGATCACGAGGATCAATTCGTGCTATCTCAAGAGAGAAAATTACTCGGATCCATTCACGCGCCTCTCGTAACAGTCGGCACAAAGGAGAGTAATAACGATTGAATTCATTGCGACTGATCCGCGATTGCTGCTAGTTTCTTCTTTTTTTTTTTTCTTCCCTTTCCTTTTAATCCTCTTTATTTTATTTCCGAAAGAGAATAATTTCTTATCGATCCTTCATCGACTTTGTCTCGCGGATTAAATTAATTTTTTCGTAGAACAATTTCTTCTTTCGTATTCGAGTGGATGTATTCGAAATATCCTTAACGTTAGATTTAACATTATTTTAAGAATAATCCCAATCCACGTTACGTGATACAACATCCCCCTTCTTTTTCCCTTTAAAATTCGTTGGAATCGTTTTTCTCTCGACCTATCTAATTTCCTAAAAAGAAAAATAAGTAAACAACTAACAAATAATTTCAAAGTGGAAAACATTGAAGTAAGGAAAGAAAGGAAGGAAGGGAAAAAAAGTCACCACGATTCCAGTCGTACCACTCCACTCCGTTATTGACGAAAAATCGGCGGAACCGGTAATAAAGCTTTCTTCGCAGGTTGTCGGCGCGTTACGCGGGTCCAACGATCGATAGATCGTCGCGTTCGCGGAGATCGGGGACTTTCATGCCCATAAACGGTCCACCAGGCCCCGCGTTCTACTCGCTATTAGTGAGTCGCTCACACGTGCGTAGACACGCGCGCAGCTGCAAACAAGTGTCGGTGCTCTCACCGGAAGCGAGTGGACACCACCGCGCGTTATGCGTGCTCGTGTATTTAATAAATAGAAAATGGAGTCTTTCTCTCTCTCTATTTCTCGCGTGAAATGGCCGACAAGTGTGTACGGGGTTCTCTGTGGTAAGCAGAGGGAGAGAGAGAGAGAGGAAAGAGAGAAAAAAGCGCTTGTATACGCGGGAATATTTTTCGAGCTGGGTCTCCCTAGATGGAGAGAAAGCACGTTGAGCGCGTTTATGGTAT